CGTCTTCCTTGCTGTGCGTGGGCTTTCTCTAGTTGAGGCGAGCAGGAGCTACTCTTTGTTGCGGTGCACGGGCTTCTCATTGCCGTGGCTTCTCTTGTTGCGGAGCATGGGCTCTAGGTGCGCGGGCTTCAGTAGTTGTGGCTCTCGGCCTCTAGAGTGCAGGCTCAGTAGTCGTGGCACATGGGCTTAGTTGCTCCACAGCATGAGGGATCTTCCTGGACCAGGGATTGAACCCATGTCCCGTGCATTGGCAGATGGATTCTTAAGCCCTGCACCACCAGGGAAGTCCCTAGACTTCAGTTTTATAAGCATCTTTTTATGATGTCATTAGGAACTATCCAGGTTCTGGGAGGAGTGGTCATTCTTTGGATTTTTCCAATATTCTCCTGCAGAAAGTTTGGTGGATGCCAGCTCCGGGCCAGAGTTGTGGTGTCTGTAATCACTGGGTCTTCTTCCAAAATTTCAAGACTGTGGAGTTAAAAGGCCTTGAGTGAGTCCCAAAATGGGTGTGATGAAGGGACCGCACTTGATAGTAAGGCTGATTGGCCGGAGAGAACCCACTTCACAGACACAATGGTTTTTCTCTCCATCTCCATGGCAACTGCAGGGCCAGCAGCTGCCAGTAAAATCAAAGATACACTTACCCAGCTCCTCCAATATCCCATATAGTTATAAGGTTTGGGCCCCAGTGCAAGGAGGAAAGAGACAGATCAGTGTCCCAGCCTTCAGGCTGTTAGTATGTAACCTGTGCTACTTTGGCAGCCTTTAACATCGCTTAACTTACCTCATTAATTCTCTTCACTCATTAGAAGGACCATGTTCAAAAGAAGATGGGGAAGTATTTTGTGACCACATTCAGTTATATAGACCTTCTTGGATTCGTGGTTGCCTATTACATATTTCTCTGAAAAGAGCAAATAAAAGTGGTCCTGTCTCAGCCAACTCAACCCGGTGTCAAACGCTTCCTCATCCATCAGACTCTCAGCCTAAGGGTCACCTCCTCCGGAAGGCCACCCCTGATTCTCTCAGGAAGAGATCACTTCTCATCTACTTCCATCAAGCATCTACCTTGACATTTCCTTAAAGATCTTTCTCTCTACTAGCTGTAAAGCTCCAGAACAGTTTGCATCCTTTCATCACGATCTCCCCACGCCTAACACTGTGCCAGGCACAGTTTGGGTGGCAGTAAATATTTTCTAAGTGATGATGGCCCAGCAGCCCAGGGCCTTTGTCCTAAAGGATACCCACATTTTTGAGGCTCACATTTGTCCTCTGATTGAGCCCAAGAATGACAAAAAGCCAGCCCACTGTGCAAAAGTTTCGAAGATATGAGTCTTGAGTATTGAAAGGAAAATAAGAGAATCTCAGGGTTCTAAGCTGCAAGAGGAATAACTTGGCTTTCTTAGAATTAGAAAACCAATAAAAGTCACAGCTCCTTTCTGTGACTCTAAATACCCTCCTCTCTCCTCTTTTCTTCCTTCCCTCGTCCCTCCCACCTTCCTTCCTTTCTCTCACAGTCTCTCTCCCCCCTCTATCTCGCCATCTCTTTCTCGCTCTTTGTCAAGTTCTTACGCTGCTTTCACTTGGTCCAACATGGACAATATGGCAACCACCCAAGAGTCTATCTTTATGATCTTACTGTTGCAGTTTCACCACTGATCGCAATCTCAATATCTCTCAGTTCAATTGCTTGAGAGATTAAATCCAGTTGATTGCTGGCCACTTAGTAGAATTAACTGGATGACTTTAAGTCAGGTGCCCACATATTAGACATCTTATTTTTCTGCCACCCAGAATTGGCAAACCAATTCATGTTCTGTGGGACCCAGGTGGAGTTCTACCCTGAGCCACAGGGACAGAGGAAATAACGCAGGCCTAAGCAATTCAACATGACATCACTGGCCATGGAAACTGGTTCAGGGTATGCACGTAAGTCAGACTTCAGGTGAGGATTCTGAGATAAAAGATCCTCCATCTTCTGTGAGCATTACAGGAAGAGATGTTCACTCTTCCTTTAGAGAGTGTGATGTGGTGTTGTGAGGTACAGATCTTTAGCAATCTTTTTGTCACATTAGAAGGAGCCAGACTGAGCATGAAGCCAGCCCGGAAGAACCCAAACCAAGTTTTGGAGGAAAAACTCAGTTATAATGATATTATCTGACTCCTGATTCCAGTCTTGTCTGAAGCTGCCCTAGGACATTTTCAAACCTATACATCCCTTCATTGTTTAAGCCAGTTCAAGTGGGTTTTTCTGTCGCTTGCAAAAAAAAAAAGAGTCAAACTGATTTGATTTGCCGCTCACCTGCTCATTTATGGAGCTGGGCTGCAGAGAGCACATTCATGTTTCAAGTGGGAAGTGATTCTTTGAGAAGGTGATTGATCCAAACTCTATTCATCTGAGGCACCTGGACAGCTCAGAGGTATAAAGTTGGCTAAAGCATGTTGCCATTACAACTGAACTCTTAAGAAACGAGAAAATACAGAGTTCAGTTCTGATACTGAATTGCTTTATCTTCTAAGGAATTTTAATCATGTTTTTCATCACTTCTTTAATTTTTTTTCAATTTTCCTTCAAAACAGTTAACTATTCTTCTTAGAAATAGCCACAGGCTGTGTTTGAAACATCTCAAATGAGCTCCTTTTGAATTATTCATGGGAGAAAATCTCTATAGATATCCAGAAATAGGGTGCTTTTCTGTCTCCTCAGCTTAAAAACAACTGGCTGCATTTTGCTAAAAAGAAAAACTGTTTGAATTGAGACCGGATTTGAAGAACATCACCCCATTTTTCTTTCCATAGATCACATTTGCTGGAGAAAACTTGGGGGAGGGGAATAGAACTGTAACAAAACATTTGCCTCTTTCTTCTTATGTGTTTATGTATGTGTTTCTTACCTGTTAGAGATTATAAATAACTAGAAGGCAGGCAGCTGTCTACTCAACCCAGCTGAACATTTTCTAGCACGATGCCACAATATCTGGGTGAATGTCACTGGTGGTGGATGTCAGCAGAGCTCTGGACTGTGTTTACTCCTCTGCTCATTCCTTTCTCTTTCTTTACAAGGAGCGCAAATTTCCCAAGTTTGTATCCAAAGAAATGGAAAACATGTACATCGAAGAGCTGAAGTCATCCGTCAACCTGCTCATGGCTAATTTGGAGAGCATGCCAGTTTCCAAAGGCGGCGAGTTCAAGCTTCAGAAACTCAAACGCAGCCACAACGCTTCCATCATCGACATGGGTGAGGAGAGTGAAAACCAGCTCTCCAAGTCAGACGTCGTGTTATCTTTCTCCCTGGAGGTAAAAGCCCTAGACCCTTGAAAGTTTCCTGGCATCGCAGGCGGGACACGGGTGATGAGATGCATCACAATCAGCTTGTTTTCCTCCTTGCGCCCCAGGAGCAGTTATTAAAATAACAGCTTGCTAAGCATAGCTCAGCTAATCGGCAAGTAATTTCCCATCTCCCGGAGACCATACTTTTTCCTTCGGAAATGTAGTCCTAAGAACCACTTACTAAATTTAAGGTTGGATTACTTTCCCCAACTTAAAGCAGCGCTTCAGGGTTTTGTAAATAACCTTGTGCAATTTAGAAAGTTTAACATTTTGGCAACCTGTGTTACAAAAAAAGCAATCTAGCATCATTTCATGGTGGGTTGTCAGTTTTCTCTCCCATTCTCTCTCCCTCTGGCTGCCCCATTAGAGAGTGCCTTGTTGTAGTGGAGACTCTGTTAGTTTGTCTCATCCCCCCAAGAAAGAACCCATTTGGGCCAGAACTGTGGCAGAAGGCTCATCATGTCAATATTTCTCTGTAACTTTTACTCACATGTTCGTTTATCATCCATATAATCTAAGGAGTAGATCTGATCTAACTACATCAGAATTATTGAAAACTGGTTCAATATGCACATTTCCTGCACCACCCAGAACTGTTGACCCAGAGCTCTAGAGGATGAGAATATAAAATGGTGCGGTCACTTTAGAAAACAGTTTGGTGGTTTCTCAAAAAGCTAAACATAAAATTACCATGTGATCCAGCAATTCCACTCTTAGGTATCTACCCAAGAGAGATGAAAACACGTCACCACAAAGACTTGCTTGCAAATGTTTACAGCAGCATTATTCATTATAGCCCAAAATGGAAACAACCTAAATGTCTATCAGCTGGTGAAAGGGCATAATGTGGTTCATCCATATGATAGAATACTCTTCACCAATTAAAAGGAACAAGCTACTGATATATGCTTTGATTTAGATGAACCTCCAAAACATTATGCTTAGTGAAAGAAGCCAGAGGCCACATATTGTTTGATTCCATTGATATGAAATGTCCAGAAAAGGTAAATATCCAGAAACAGAAAGTAGGTTAGTGTTGCCTGGGGCAGGAGGTAGAAACGGACGTAAGGGACCTTATTGGGGGAGATAAAACTGTTCTGAAACTGATTTATGATGGTGGTTTCTACAACCTAGTAAATTTATTTATTTTTTTAAATATTTACTTGGTTGCACCAGGTCTTAGTTGCAGCAGGCGGACTCCTTAGGTGTGGCTTGCAGGCTCCCTAGTTGCAGCACGTGGGCTACTTAGTTGCAGCTCGCTAGCTCTTTAGTTGCGGCACGTGGCCTCCTTAGTTGTAGCATGCGAACTCTTAGTTGCGGCATGCATGTGGGATCTAGTTCCTTGATCAGGGATCGAACCCAGTCCCCCTGCATTGGGAGCGCGGAGTGTTCACCACTGCGCCACCAGGGAAGTCCCTAAATCACTGTATTGTACGCTTGAAATGTGTGAATTATATGATATGTAAAATATGCCTCAATAAAATTGTCAGGAATAAGAGCTCTAGGCGGAGTATAGCCCTGGAATGTGCATTTTAATGAGCTGCCCAGGTACTTCTTACACTCCAAAGTTTGAGAACCATTCGTAGCATATGAAAGCTCAACCCCAAAAGGATTTCATGATAATCCAACATTTAGGAAAACCAAGAGAATAGATCAGATTTCTATAGATTTAATTAAAATTTGTAAAGACTAAATTAATATTTGAGAACATCATTAAGGCTTGCTGTGAATTAACTGCAGGTAATTTGTTTTACTGTGCTCAGTTCAGATTGAGACAGTCACATTACAGGGTTTTCAACATGGATTTCGCAGGTGGGAGAGGCAGTATTCAATTAAATATAGAGCACTTGGTGTGTGAAAAAACCATCAGTGTAATTTCACACAAGCTTCCTTTCTTTTCTTTTTTTTAATACTGCCACCTGAGATACTGAATGCTTTTTCTTAGGTGTCTTTGGATTTGATTATTGCCAATTAAAGGTGGCAATTTATTCCCTACTGTCTCTTGTCTTCCTACTGAAAGGTAGGGGGGAAAGTGGTTTATTGATTTTCATGAAGCTTTTAAATCTGCAATTTTCTAATTCTTCGTCAGTACTCAGTATTACACAGCTGATTATCTAAAATATAGATGTGGGTGAGTCCCCAACCATACTGCCAGACGTACATGATTCAAACAGGCTGTAACTTGTAAGTACAAGTACCGAATGAAATGCTCTAGGGTTCCCAAATACTGTTTAATTAGAACACTAAATTGCACATCATACTAAACCAGCCAGCACAAAGCATTGAGTATCTATTTGTGAACGTGTTTTGGCAGACACAGTTAGGGGGGTAAAAAGAGAGAGAGAGAGGCCTGTCACAGCATCAGGGCAGACTAGGTTTGAATTTGCAGGTTGGTACAAGACATATTTTATGTAATTATAGAATTGCATGGCTAGAAGGGACAGCAGAGAATAGTTGCCTGGAGTAAAAGAACTGAGGTCCAGGATTACAAGTGACATGGCCCTGGGTGGGTGGAGTGCTCTGATGAAAAATAGTAGGTATTTGTAGAATCCTTCACCATCATTCACTCCGTGAATCCTCACAACAGTCTTTCGAGGCATTTGCAGATGTGGAAACAAAGCCTTGGAGTGGTTAAGAACCTAGCAAATGATTACACAGCTACTGAAAATGCAGATTCGGGATTTGAACTCATCTTTAAAATTCTAAAAATTGTATTCTTTCTCCAGTGCCTCTCATTTCTTTTCATTTGATGGTTTTTTCCACCCAGTGTAAAAATTTCAATTACATACATCATCTCATATGATCCTCACACAGCGACCATGGAGAGAGAGAAAAGACGCATCATTATCCCCACTATACAGATGAGGAAACTGAGGCTCAGGGTATTTGAAAGAAAAGTGCAGTGACTTCAAGGTCAAGATCTTCCCAACATCACATGAGTAGTACACTGGCTCCTGGATCAGCAGCATCAATATCCACATCATCAGGGAAATGGTTAGAAATGAAAAGTCTTACATACACACACTACTATATATAACATAGATAACCAGCAAGGACCTACTGTATAGCACAGGGAAATCTACTCAATATCCTGGGATAACCTATATGAGAAAAGAATCTGGAAAAGAATGAATATATGTATATGTACAACTGAATCACTTCGCCGTACACCTGAAACTAACACAACATTGTAAATCAACTACAACACAATTTTTTAAAAAAGAAAAAAATGAAAAGTCTTGGGCTCCATCCCAGACCTCCTTGTCAGCAACTCGGGAGGTGAAGCCCAGCCGTGTCTGGTTTAACCAGCGCTCCAGGTGATTCTGATTCACACTAAGTTTGAGAACCCCTGGGCTATTAAGCAGCAAAACTGACCTGTGAATCCTGATTCAATGCCAGCCCTATTGTACTTCCTTGCATCAAGCCCATTAAAAAAGCGTACATTTTTTGCACACCCACATCCTTCTTGTGTAACGCCATTACCTCTTTTGGAGTACAATCCAGTAATTTTTTTTTCAATATACCTTGGTCTTTAGAGATCTCTGATTGTGAGTCATTTGTTTCCGATTTTTAAATCAATGTCCCCTCCTCTTCTCTCTTCTCCCTTCTCTCTGATGAGTGGCAGCACCTACCACTAAATAAGAAAATAGCAGGTGATTGAATGGAGTTTGAGGGTAGTGGTGGGAAATGCCAGGAATTGTAAATGTTATAACTTGTTCCATCAAAACAACCAGCCTTTTCCCTCAGTCTAGACAGAGAGTATGCAACTGCAGGCTTTTTTTTTTTTTTTTTTTTTTTTTTTTTTTACCCCAACAATGTTGGCCTGCACAGAGTTTGTGTATTTTATTTCTCCCCTTTAAAATTATTGTCAAAATTTCAAAATCAGATTTCTGACTATGATTCTGATTCAGATTGCCATTTCCCAGTAAGAGAAATTGGAGTATTTGGCAACCCTGGACTGGGGTAAAACAAGGCAACAATGGGCTGCAACTGAGTAGCAGCTGCTCCCTTTAAATGGAGTGCTCCCATTTGCCACAGTCCCCACTACTCCCTGTTGTATCTCTGACTCTCATGCTAAACGCTACTTGCCCTTTATCTTAGCAGTTGTGTTATCACTTATTTTATTGTAAAAAGGAAAGTGAATTCCTTGGTCTATGTGTCCATCACGTTCTGAGTTAAAAGCTAGACGGTATATATTTTTTAAATAGTAGAGTCTATTTCTTGTGGAAATGAAAAAACATCTTCTGTGTGTGTGTGTTTTTAATTTTTATTTATTATTTATTTATTTATTTATTTTTGGCTGTGTTGGGTCTTCGTTGCTGCACGCAGGCTTTCTCTAGTTGCGGTGAGCGGGGGCTACTCTTCGTTGTGGGCGCACAGGCTTCTCCTTGCAGTGGCTTCTCTTGTTGCGGAGCACGGGCTCTAGGCGCACGGGCTTCATAGTTGCGGTACACGGGCTCAGTAGTTGTGGCTCATGGGCTCTAGAGCGCAGGCTCGGTAGTTGTGGTGCACGGGCTTAGTTGCTCCGCGGCATGTGGGATCTTCCCGGACCAGGGCTTTCACCATGTCCCCTGCATTGGCAGGCGGATTCTTAAGCCCTGTGCCACCAGGGAAGTCCCCATCCTATGTGTTTAACACAGAAAAGAGTAGCCCGTTTCATATAACCTGTCTAGCTCCTATGAGCATCTGAGTTAGTGAACTTTGTCTTTCCATCTGCAAGGCAATGAGATACGCTATGAAGAATTGTATCTTCATGCTGGACTTGTCCCAGCATGGCTGGTAGAAACCTGATAGAAATATCAGATACCTGTTGGGTTTTTTGTAACTTCTTATGTATATAGTTTCCCCCGGTGATGCTGCCCATAGACTTTGGCAATAACCTCTGCTGTGTGTGACTCTGTTTCCAGGTGGTGATCATGGAAGTCCAAGGCCTCAAATCCTTAGCTCCAAATCGCATTGTATATTGCACGATGGAGGTGGAAGGAGGAGAGAAACTGCAGACCGACCAGGCCGAGGCTTCAAAACCAACGTAAGTTATGTTTCTCCATGGTTCGTCTTCCAGAAGATTCTTCTCATTGGCACCATTTTGGCCAACTGCAGATTAAAGGTTTGGTTTCCCCAGCAGGTTATATGAGGCATACACCTTGTTTATTTTCCAAACAAAATGACTTGATTACATTTTTATTTGGCAGCCTTAATAAGGTTTCCACCTCCTTCGGAGAGGAGGACAGAAGGAAATTTAAGACACAGCCTCCTTTCTGGAGGCTCTATGTATCACCTTAGAGAGTTTAGTCACAACCTGCAGGCTTCAATAGGATGTGTAGGAGAGTTTGATAGAAATCTGTTTTCATTACATTTACCAAATAATATTTGGTTTATGGTATGTACAGTTTTCTTTCAAAATCTTTCTCTGTGCCACAGTTACGACTATATCAGCAAAGCAGTATGTTACGTTAGGCACGATCTCTTAATTTGTTAGGTCAACACATATTTGTCAAATGCTCACTGTGCCTGTGTACAGGGTGCTGTTGAACAGCGGAAAGGAAAATAGTCCCTGTTGTTGCCCTACGGAGCTTATAGTTGAGTGGGGGAGCAGAAGCATAATTGCACAAATTTATAGTTACAAATAGATATGAACGCTGAGAAAGAAAGAGTGCTTTGGGGCTTCCCTGGTGGCGCAGTGGTTGAAAGTCCGCCTGCCGATGCAGGGGACGCGGGTTCGTGCCCCGGCCCGGGAGGATCCCACGTGCCGCGGAGCAGCTGGGCCCGTGAGCCGTGGCCGCTGAGCCTGCGCGTCCGGAGCCTGCGCTCCGCAACGGGAGAGGCCGCGACAGTGAGAGGCCCGCGTACCGCAAAAGGAGATGCTAGAGGGAAGAGATATGGGAACATATGTATATGTATAACTGATTCACTTTGTTATAAAGCAGAAACTTAACACGCCATTGTAAAGCAATTATACTCCAATAAAAATGTTAAAAAAAAAAAAAAAAAGAAAGAGTGCTTTGTGAGGAGACAGCAGGGCGACCTGAACCAGTTTGTGGAGACAGAGTAGGAGTAGGCCTTCTTGAGGAGTTATAAGACGTTTGGTCTAATATTTAAAAGTTGAGCAAAGGGGTTGGGAGTAGAAAGAACATGCCAGGCAGAGTCAGCTTGTGCAAAGGCCCTATGGTCAGCAGAGACCCTGTGGCAAGGAGGCATTGAAAGAAGGCCAGTGGGGCTGGAGTTAAGAGAACGAGGTATGCCGTAAGCTGCCAGTGAGGCAGGAAGGGGCTACACCATGAAGGACCTTGCTAGGCCCCAGAGAGGAAGGATGGGCGTGTATGATTAGATATGTGCTTTGAGAAGATTACTCTGACTGCAGTGCAGAAGGCCAGAGTCGATGCAGGAGACCAGTTAGTATTCTATTGCCTTGGTTCCCAGGAGCGATGATGATGAGAGTCAGTAGACTCTCAGGCTGCAAAACTTCTTGAGAGATCACCCCTCTCTTTCCTCCCTCCCCACTGCCTCTCTCCTTTTCTTTTCTATCTCAATTAAGCCGGCCGAGGCTAATGAGCATCTTTTTTTTTTATTGTTGTTAATTCAGAAGAAAGTCATAAAAAGGATAACCCGTAACGGCAGCTCACTGCCTGTCCTCCCCCAAAGCACTAGGAGGTGTTTGGCAGAACAGGAGTACCGTACCAGGATGTTCAAACAAAAGAGTTCAAAGAAAGCACTGAATGTTTCCCCGACTAGAGAAAAATCTGAGGGCGTTGTATGCTTTCAAGTGGTTCTTTGCATGAATAGGCAAAGGCCTCAGATGCTCAGATCTGGGTGAAATTAATAAGTGTATGGAGGAGGAAATGGAAACCAAAGCAACTTGTTGCACACCATCCTTCCTCCCTTTTTGTAAGCTGAGTTTCAATCTGAAAATGAATGCAGCTTCTTTTTTTTACCATCGTTGATAAAAATCCCAGTTTTTCCCCAACTGTCACCACAGCCCGATCATAATCAGTGCTATTATGCTGCTGTGTTATTTATATGTGCCTTTGAAAAATGTGTCACGTAGGGGGAATAAAAACCTCTCTGGTGTTTACGCTAACCTTTTAAGATGTCGAGCCCAATATGGTATCATATGTTAGAGAAGGAAGGAGAAAGCTCTGATTATTCTAACAGGCTGTTGTTTCATTTAGGCTGTTTTAACTCAAAATGTCATTTAGTTTATTGGGTTTAAAGGTTTCAGTTACCAGAGTAAATGATGAGCTGATTTTCATGTGCGTATGCATGTTTAAAACAGAGTTTCAGATTAGAAATGAACATGGAATGCTTTGGTCGAACTACTTGATATGCTTATATTTCACATATACACTTACTCATATCCATCCACATGCATCATGTCCATATGAATACATCTCACGCTGAAGAAATATAATTTTTTTATTCCTCTTCAGTCAGTGAGGGGGGGTATTACCAAAACCCCACACAGGGCTTATTTGTCTGTGTTTTAATACAGTAAGAACGCAACTTTCATAACTCGCGTCAAGTCAAATCCGTCTGTAGTGGCTCTCCAAAGTGCTGTGTCGAGAAGTGTTCTGAAGCCAAGTCTGTATTCAGAGGAAAAATAATGCATGATCGACTCACACAGGAAGAGGTACACGTGCCCTGAATTTGCCATTTCTAGAGTATCTCAAAGAGATATACCCAGAGTATGAAATCTACCACAATTCATGTCTCTTCTTGTCTCTTCTTTTCTCCTTTCTAATATATACATTCTCCTTATGATCTCTACTTAGCTGCCTTCTAAAGCCAAATTTTTCTTCCACTTCTCTTGGCCGTTTTCTTTGTCATAGTTCACTGCTAATGCTTCTCTGCCTCCACTTTTGTCTCGAGAGGATGAATGAGCCTGTTTGTGCAGGTGCACCTTCCTCGTCTCATGTTTGCACATATTCTGCATCCTCTCCATCCGTTCTTTTCTTTGAAGCTTATATTTCTTCTCTCTTTCCTCCCTGCTTCTACTCACAGTTTTTCCCATTACTGATCTCTAGCTGTCGTCTCTGCTACTTGATTTTGATTATCCCAAAAAGTACCCTTTGGAGGGTCATCTTTCATGTGTCCTAATAACGCCACGTCATCATCTGACAAACTTAGCCTTTTTCCTGCCCTCTTCATCTCCTGATTCTTTGACGATTCCCGCAGCTAGCCGGTGTCCATACTTTACTGATACATTCTAAAACCAAGATTCCATTCAAGCCTGTTTTATTTACTGCTTATAAATTCTCTTGTTGCTGCTACCAAGTATTTTACCCAGTAACTGGAACTCTAATATCTCATCCTATCATGTGTCTACAAGGAATTTGGCTTTTTTTTTTTTTTCCAAGTACAGTCACAAATGCAGGAGTACACTGCATGACCCAGTTTGTCCAAGAGTGTTTTTTAGAACTCTAATATGTAGACTACTCCAAGAAAAACAAGGATGGGGAGAGCGGTATTACGGTCAAGTGAGGCTGGGAAATGCCAGACATTACATTTTTTCTGAGTTATTCACAGCGTACTTTGGCATTTTAAAGGCTCTGAGGATTTAATTACAGAAAATAAACCTTTTTACTGTTGTTTATTCATGAGTTTCCCAAACTTTTTTCAACTACCACCTATTAGCATCCATTGGAAATGCTGTTCTATATTGTTGAAACCCAGCAGTGGAGGGTCCAAGCTCTCTGTCACCTCCACTGTCAAGGTCACCTCTTCACTTATAACCAGGGCCCTGCCCCCAAGTCGTCATTTTGAATTAGGTGCATAATATAAGAAGGCTGTTTTCATGAGTGAGATGTATTTTGTGGCTGGAAAACATGGCTGTGTGTGTGTGTGTGTAGCCCCCTCTCATCCTTCATTTTACCAGTCTCTTTGCTACACATGGGTTATCTCCAAGCCGACTGTGGATCCTATCAATGCTGTTGTCCTCCTCTCCTGGGTTTTTAACGCAGGAAGCCAGAATATGGAAATCAGAATTTTTCACGAGATATATTTACTTTTAAAAATATTGCCTCCCTTTGTGAGCCACCATTGCTGCTTCTGGCAGGAAACCACTGAGGGTGCTGAGGCAGGGCAGGAGTAATTGAAACGCTGTTTTGTGGTGAGCAATCTCAGGGAGTCATGGAAATGCAGAAGGGAAATACCTTGTGGATTCAAGAACCCAGATATATTTGTCCACCTCCTATGAAATAGAACAGAGGAATTTTCTTACCATAAGACAGTGTTTTTCTTTTTTTTTCAATTTTTGTTGAAATATAGTTGATTTACAATGTTGTGTTAGTTAGTTCAGGTGTACAGCAAAGTAATTCACTTATATATATATATATATATATATATATATACTTTTTGAATATTCTCTTCCATTATAGTTTTTTTTTTACAAGATACTGAGTAGAGTTCCCTGTGCTATACAGTAGGTCCTTGTTGGTTACCTATTTTATATATAGTAGTTTGTATCTGCTAACCCCAACCTCCTAATTTATCCCTCCCTTCCCGTTTGGTAACTATAAGTTTGTTTTCTATTTCTGTGAGTCTGTTTCTGTTTAGTAAATACAATAAGTCCCCTACATACGAACAAGTTCCATTCCGGGAATGCGTTCGTAAGTCTAATTTTTTCATGAGTCCAACACAGTTAGCCAAGGTACCCAACTAACACAATCGGCTATATAGTACTGTACTGTAATAGGTTTATAATACTTTTCACACAAATAATACATAAAAACAAACATTTTAAATCTTACAGCACAGTACCTTGAAAAGTACAGTATAGTACCAGCTACATCACTGCTGCTTTTATGCTTGCTTCTGGACATGTGGGCTTGAAATAAAGATGCTGTACTACTGTACTCTATACAGTACCATACAGTAAAGTACACAAAAGCACAATAACTTGTTGAGGATGCATGCACGTGACAATCTACGCCAGAAACATGAACTGACTTACGTGACTGGACATGCAAACTCACGTTCACTTCTTTGAAAGTTCGCAACTTGAAGGTTTATATATAGGGGGCTTACTGTAGT